TTCCTTATATTGTAACAACCGTTTTGAGGAATGGAAGTCGAGACTAAGGTCTACTGTGTGGGACCTCATCCTTTTCTCTTAAAAAGGAAAAATAAAGGGAGACCGTTACCTATGACAAACTCTCACATCCACCTTCTTCATGCCCTTCCAATAGACACATAAGAGATGAGATATACGACACACACATGAGTCAATTTGGACGGTAGTCAAATGACATGAACTAGAGAAACAATAAGGTGAACACCGATTTAACAAGCTGAACTTTCAGCTCTATGATAATGCATAGTGTTCCCAAGAGACAAGACTTTGTTCGACAGATAAAACAAAGGAGCTAAATCGATCCTACAAAGGCTCATCGATTTGATCGAGAGACCAAAGAAGGCGAATAGAAGCTGCCTTAACTAACAACTGAAAGCAGTGGCTGCTACGGCTCCATTACCTGGATAGGAGTACGTAGATCATCAACTGTGACATCTATATAGCATAGACTAACAAGATCAATAGGCTTCCCCCACCCACCCCAAACAAAAACAGTCGCTAGGCCAAGGAGGTTACTGAATCTTTGAACAAACCTTATATGAGCTGCCTAGTCAAATAACTTGAAAACAACGTCAAGGATGGAAAGACAAGAAGATATAGGATCACCTTCACAAAGGCCACAACAATATTTAATGTGGCTAATGGGTACGTCATTAACAAAAACTGGAAATGAAGGACCAGGGTACGGATCCTATTAGAACTACCCCTATAGGAGTGGGATAGTTTGCATTATAAACAAAGTTACTGAAATTCCCGAGCTAACCCTCTAAAACCATATGAATGGTATAGATCAACCCATTTTACAGAGGTGTTCTGATAGGGTCTCTACACAAAGACCAGCTTACAAGGCCACGCCCTTCTAAAATCCAAAATTGTAAGATATAATAAAGTTGAAGATGTGTGATACAGATATGTTCTCTTACACACAAGTAATACAGTCAAGCATCAATCTGTCTTTGGTGAATGTAATTTGTGCCTGCTCTACAGGACAAAGAAGCTTTCCTTTTAAGGCCACAACAGAGTACTTTAACCTGAGATCACACAATTCAAGGACTAGCCCCATTTTATCTTCTCCATGTTTTATTAGTATACCAACCAAAACCTATCCCCGACACTATCGAGGAAAAATAACCTTCACGATCTGCGTTCGAGGATGCATAAACAGTTTCTACCAGTTAAGCAACTTCCAGAAAACTTTAACATTCCCCGGCTTCAGTCATGCCATTTCCACCTAACTGTGACAAGATGTAATCATATTTCGGCCGTATAATAGAATCCGTTTAAAACAAAAAGATGCACCGTCCGCTATCGTATCAAATCGAACAATGCACCAAGACCTAATGATCAAATTCCCCTTGGAATTAATACTGTTCAAGATCAAATGCACCATGACCTAATGATCCATGTCGGATCATGATTAAGCATAATGTAGTCATCATAAATCTCATAATGTAGTCATCATAAATCCATCATAATGCTACTTCAACAAGATCTAATCTTTTCCAATATTGTTCCGGCTACTACGTGGCAGAGTATATACCAAACCAAACAATGTCCCATCAAGCACCAGCTCAAATCAAGCAATTCACCAAAATCCAGCAAAAATATTCACCTCAGAACCCCGCGCCGTCGTCGTATCGACGTCGAGCATCCTCATCGACATCTTAGCGATCTCTGACACAGCAGCCTCCCTGACCTCCGCATCCTCATACCGCCAGCTCTCATAACGCCGCCTCGAACGCCACTCCTCCCAAACCTCGGCAGCCGGATCCTCCGACTCTGGCTACTGTAAACCTCCCATTTCCTCCTCACCACCTCCTCTCTCTCCTCCACCTCCTACAACCCAAAAAAGGAAAAAAAAAAAAAAAAAGAGCAAAGCGTAAACTACTGCAAAAGGAAACATTAATAAAAATAAAAAGAAACGGTTAATGATTAGAATTGTACGAGGATGTCGAGATCGGCGTGGGATTGCTGGGAGCGGAGGAGGAGGTCGTCGGAGGAGAGATCGCCGGAGGAGCGGAGGGAGACGGTGCCGGTGAGCATGGACCAGAACGCGAGGAGGGCGATGGCGGCGAGTGCCCAGAACTTGTAGCGGCCTTTTCCGAAAAGGGACGGCGACGATGTTTCGGGTTTCGTAGCGGTGGCCGCTGGGGCAGTTGATAATGTTGGTAGCAGATCGGACTCTTTCATTTGAAGCTGCTGCTCGCTCACTCTTCTCGGCGCAGGAGGAAGCGAGGAGGATCCACGGATTGATTAAATTATTGGGTTTGATGGAAAACGGGCCCAGATGTCATTAAATTGCGGGCACATGGCATGTACATATGGACGCAGATGCACACTGTGCCGGTGTTTGAATAACGGAATCAATAAAAATCAGTAAAGTAATATTAAGGGTTTTAATTTTCGATATTTAGTCCCGACTTGCATTTTTTGATATTAGTCTTCCGAATCATGATAATTACCATTATGTCCCCAAATTCTCTAAATATTTTCAAATAAGTCCCAAATTTTGAAGAGTGTGACAAAATAAAACCTGATGTGTTCATTATAGGCTAAGGGGCGGAAGATACGTGGGAAACTAGTGGTTCAGACTCAACCAAGATAAGGCGCGCACAAACACCCACTTTCAATCCACGCCCATTCACATTCCCAGAGCTCAACCAACCAAACAATGGCGTCAATGACCACAATGCTGCTAACACCGCGCGCCACCCTCAGGCTGAGCCCTCACCCTCAGCCCTCAACCTTCACAAGAGCCAAACCTCACGTGACATCCTCCTCAATCACGTGCAAAGCCTCCAAAGACACCAACGAAACCGCCGCCATCCACCACCACCACAGAGATAGCGGCTGCAGTGCAGCGGCCTAATATCAACCCCATTCATCGCAATACTCCCTCTACGCTCTTTACAAAAACCAGCGGGCTGCGGCCTCCCGCCGGCCGCGGGGGCTCCCTCGTGGCCGCCGAGGGGGTGAGGTTACCTGGTCAGGTCGCCGGAATTGTGGCGCGGTCGCTGTACACAAAGCGTGAAGACGGGCTCTGGGCGTACCTAATGCGCCTTATGGGCTTCTTAGGGGCTGATCGGCTGGGTCTCGTACTTGAACTGTGCTTGCCATTGTGGTTGTTTTCGCAGGTTGGGTTCGAAGTTTGTGGAATGAGGGGTATATACCCGCACCCACTTCCTGCCCTGATCAATGTTTTGGCTGAAAACCGTTCTCTTTTTATTCTGTGATGACTTTGTTTTGTGTGATCTTGTCTAGTTTTGTATATTTTAATTAGTTAGTCCCGAGAAATAGATTCAGACAGTTTCGTATTGTATTACTACTAGATGGTTGCTATTTCATTTTCCATTTTTAAGCAATTAATTTGAGTTTTTAATGGTATGTATACAGTTATACGTGTTTTATTCTGTAAAGCACGATTCCGTAAGTGTAATTATTTAATGAAAATTCTTGCATAACAATATCTATCGGTGTACCAATAATTAATCACACATGATATCATTAAATGAACCAGCTTGAGAGATTCTATATCTAAGTACCCTACGAAATGTCCTTGGGGTTCAATTTGTAAGTAAACTGATACATTAAATCTATGCTGCATGCATATTAGCTCCCAAGAAACTACCTTTAAACTGATACCTAAATTGTGTATAAGAACTGCCAGTCCAATGTCTCCCACCTTCAGATCCTAAACAAGAAGAAAGTAGAGAAGGACAGAACAGATCACAGAGCGAGCCGCGACCATGGTTCCGACTCAAGTACAAGATGCTAGGAGTTACAATCTGTCCAAAGAACTGATCAGGCATCACAGCTTCGAATCATGCTCATATCTTCCTGGACGCCGAATTTCCTGGTTTTATACACCTGCCTCCTAGCTAGCGGTGCTGAAAAGACATCTACGGGGCTATGAAATATAATGTTGACACCCTGAAGATTATCCAATTGAGGTTCACTCTATTGGATGGCAAGAATTTTTGCTCTTGGAAATTCAATGTCAGCGATTTTCAATCTTTGCCAAGATAAGTTCTCAGAAGCATCCATTGAGCTTTTGAAAAGAAGGTTGATGCAGACATTCTCTCGAGACTGCTTCAAGAGAATCTGATAAAAGGAATTCAAGAGGACAAAATGGATAAGCTTTCACCAGCTATATGACCTTGCACACGTAATCAAACTACTCGATGAGGATAAGCCTCTGCCAGCCACACTGCCTGATTTTCTTAAGAACGTGAGGGAGTTGTTCGAGGCCATGGTATATGATGTTAAATACACTGCGAGAGAATGCAATGCATGTTTTTTGGAGGTAGGCCTTGTGAGCCTTTCGAGGATTCTCAAAATCAATTGGACAGGGAACTTGCACCAAGCCGGTCATGACAGCATTTTGATCGCGATCGTATTCGTGGAGATGAAAAAGCTCGATAATTTCATGACAGCAAAACATGCAGGGTTGTTTGTGTGGTGTTGAAAAACATGCACGACAGGATCTGGAGACTACTGCTTCTTTAATGCCGTAGCCTGTAATCCCACTACTGGCTCCTGCTCGTTTACGCTATTGTCTGTTTATTCATCAGGCATAGTATCTGACTTCCTCTCTCTCTATTTTTAAATTTTTTTCTTCCAGTTCAGTGTACATGATGTAATTTACTTTCTATCTCTTGTTAGTTTTTACCAAACATATAGGTGTGTGAATTCTGAGGTTCTCTTGTGACATGCTATACTTATATTTGTTAAAAGAGAACAGAGTTTGAGGTTAGAAAGAGATTGACTTGACTCTTGAGTCATCGGCTTATATCACCCCCAAACTAACATTTCAATCATGGCTTATAAGCAATGTAGTATCTGCAACACCATCACATATGTCAAATAATATTTACTGGACTTGATAACCGCAAGTTCAGGAAGAGCTGGTGCAGAACTTAAAAGGCACAAGGACCAGTTTGGGGATTATAGAAACAGAGAAGGAAAGAAAAAACTACAGCTCAATGATTACATCAACGAATGCAGAAAAAGGAAACGAAATTGAAGTATTGCACATGAACAATCAGTTTTGTACACGATAAAAGCCCACTAATCCAAGAAACTATACAAATCTCTCGAATTGAATCTTGAAAAAGTTGCTTCTTCTCAAATGTTACATACACGAAGCCAGGCAGCTCCTGATTAAAGCTTCTACGTCAGAGAATGAGAAAAAGAAAACCGAACTCAGTCTTGCATAAGAAACAACCACGAATCAAGAACTTGATCAATCATCTCTCAAGCTCGTAACTAACCAAGATCAAGAAACATGAGCGTACGCATCGTCAATGACTCTTATCAACCCTCCTCATCCTCGACTGACACTTTCATCCTTTTCCTTATCGATCTCTTTCTCATCGCCTCCTGCAACTCTCTGTCCTCTTCAACATGGATTTGTGCTGACGTCAAAAGGGAGCATACGTAGGGAACCGTATCGAACAGTGGCCGAGGAATCACGTCCCATGCCAAAGCACTCAATCTTGCAAGGTTAAGCTCCCAAAGTGTAATTCGACCATCCCCCGTCAAGAAAGGCACATCTTTCTCGAACCTGAGAATATTTGGGCTCGGCTGATCGATGCACATTAAAGCTCCACACCCCTCGCCATCTTCACCCACATCCAAGAACCCATCATGCCTCCTCCAAGAATTTGATCCCCCGCAGCCTTTTTTCTCAAGAACGTAGAGCCTGACCTTGCCTTCACCTACAGAAACAATACCAATGTCGCCGTTGCTTACCGTCCCTAACTGCATTTCAGCCGGAGGACGGAGATCTTGGGGCAGATTGATTCGCTGACTTGAACAGTTGGCAGTGCTGAATCTGATGATCTCGCCGGGCATACTGGTGAGCCAGAAGGCCATACCGAGATCATTTGAAACGCCAGAGTCTCCCCTGATGTGAGCTGGTGAGATATCTAGGGGGTCCTTCGTAGAGTTCCATCCCTCCGTTCCTGAGGAGTACTGCTCGAACGTGTACTTGCTGTCTCCCTCGTGGATTGCACAGATGACGTAGCACGCAGGGGGTCTCCCCCGTTCTTGGTCTTCTTGGTCTTGGACGGAGAGAACCACGGGAGGGTAGTGAGCATGGGATCTCGGTGGGCTTGGGATGCGTCTGTAGCTGGTTGATTTATCGTGGACGAAGGGGTTGAAGACGTGGTAGGAATTGGATTCTGGCTCGTAACAGAGGAGGAGACCTTTGGAGGAGGAGCAGATTATGAAGGGCTCAGGAATGGAGAAGAAGCAGGGCTCGGGGAGATGAGGATGAGGATCCGTGGTGAAGGCTCTGAAGATGTATCGGCTGCAGGCATTGAGCAGATTATCGCGGAAGTCTCTGAAGAAGATGCCGGCGGTGGGAGATGCATCGGCTGCAGGCATTGAGGTCTC